AAATGTTTGGAGCCAAATTAGGTTTTGTTATGCCACATGCCCTTTGTGTGAGACATGCAGCATTGTATTCTTAGGAAATGTGCATTAACAAGATGTCAGGACATCTGATAAAGAACAAAGGCAAGGGACTGAGCTGCATTCAGAATGTTTTATGCGATTACAAGGTGTTCATTTGTTTTGAAAGCACTTTGGTATACCAGTTGGAAAAAATAGTGTTTGACTGATTATTTCTAGGTGAATTTTGAGGAAGGGACAGGACTAAATGGAATAAAGAGTGATTCTGGAAGGTGTGCCAGCCCCTCACCACTGCAGAAAGTATAAAATCAAGTAGCAACAGAAATATTCAGGTAGTAATACCACCAGAGAGATTAGTAACAGAGTAATTCCCTGCAGCTGTGTATAACGTTGTGTTGGTTTTTTTTCATTAAACTCCTTAAACAGCTAAGATGCTCCTGAAACAGTATGCTAAAAGGCTTCTGTAAAAACATGATGGGTAGCCTGTATTACATGCCAAAAAAAGGTGAAATACTATATTGGTCAGGTGGGCATGGGTCAAATTATCTCATAAATATATATAAATATATAACTACATGACAACAAAGACAAGAAACAGCAAAGCTAGATCTAATAGCAAGCTTCCATGACTAACCATCGGTTCAATAAAGAATCACGTCTTACTGTATCAATTTAGAAGCTCAGGTACTGAAAGAAGTGTATCAAACCATGAACTCATCAATCAGACTATGGCTTAGATGTGGGAATCATAAAAAACCGTTTGTGGTTTTAATTTGTGTGTTGGATTTTTTATTTCATTATTATTTGTAAGGTTCAATTTCCAGGATGCTTTTATGTACCTATATTGAAAACAAAAAAAAGATTTTTTCTTTTGAAGAGAAGAGAATAGACAGGAAAGATAACTGTCTTCAGAAGCTGAAAAATTAAGACATTTGCTACCAGGCAGTTTGAAATTAAATTCTGACAGCTTGTCACACTGCCTCTAAAATAAAAATCAAAATGAGATGTATCCAGAATCATGTCCCTCTTCTTGTATGGTATATGTTTTATTTATATTTTAATTTGGTTTTGAAGCAAAGCTGAATCAACAGTCTTTAAAAAAAAAAAGTGAAGGTGATACAAATTAATATAGATCTCAGCAGCAAAATCTTTCTCTAATAACAGTTTGCTTCAGCTCTGGGGTGTCAGAGGAGAGCTTGTGTCAAATCAATTTTTGATTTTTCTATTGAGCAAGGACAATAATGTTTTTGGTAATGTGAGCATTTACCAGTTAGGTCCAGCAGTACTAACATGGTTTCATGAGGGCCATAAAGCATTGATTTGATGGCAATTGCTTTCAAACTGACTTGAGATTTTTCTTGATGAAAACTACATCTTCTAATAACCATTCCTTTTTTTTCCTTGACAGTCAGACACTTTTTTCTTGTGTATAATCGTGTGCTTTCTTTTTTTAAAGATACGTATTTTTCAACTATAATCCTTGTTCTCCTGATTGAGCCATCAAGTTAGTTTAAGCGAAACGTCACCTAAAGATTCTGCTAGTGTTATTTGTGTTATCATGTTATTCATGTTATCTACTTATATTATTTGTGGCAGATAAATTTAAAACTAACTCGATTACACCAGAACTTTAAAAATCTTCTCGTACAGCTTGAGGACTCAGAGTGCCTGCCTTTGTGTAGAAAACTAATATATAGAGAGAGAACTCCGTATGGTATGTAAACTTACTCAAGAAGAAAGTACTTTGGGATGTGAAAGATTTCCAGTCACTTTTGGTCAGACCTATAATGTAATCACATCAAAACCTGCAGTGGTAATCTCATTCATGGTGATTTGTACAAACTTCATATTCATCCCTTAAAAATAAGTAAATCAGTTTGCCTTGCTGGGATATTTCAAACAGACACCATTACAGGAAATAGTGTACAGAACCATGGAAGTATTTATTTAATGTGGCAAAGCAAATGTTGCAGGTCTGCGCTTTCTAAGCATGTGAATAGACTTGCAGTTTGCAATAGGGAGAAAAGTCTAAATTTCACACATTCATTGCTCATTGGCATATATTTCTTTTTAGCATTAATACTGCTAAAATACATTAATTTTAGCATTAATACTGTATATATATTAAGACAGAGTCTTGCATAGGCAGAAGCAACAGAATTAACTTAACAAACAGAATCATTTGTCTTTTTGTCTCCCTTTGAATCTAATGAAGAATTTTCCCTATGGCTGAAGCAGAGAGTAACTTAGGAATAAATAAGACCAGTCTTCAAAGAACCCCTGTGCAGCCATGTCTCAGAATCGCTGTGTGTATTCCTGAACAATATCAGACTCACCCACAGGGGTTGCTTCCAGCCAAATGGTTCACATCAGAAATGGCATCCACCCCGCTTGGAAAGTTAACGCACTCTGAGAGGCAGCGAGCTACCCATTGCTCTTTAGGCCTTCTGCAGTCCTGTACTAAATGTAATATCAGCAAAAAGTATTTTTCCAACATTAAACAAACTTAAGCGGTGTGTCTTTTATTCATCTGGGACACACTGTTTAATGTATGTGACAATTTATTGCATAGGAGTCTTCTAATTGTCCTTAAAATATATGTCAAATTGACTTGCTATGTAATGCAATTAATTCCTTTTTTGCTGTTGTTTTTAATGGGATCTTTTATGTGTGCTGAACAACGGCTGAACATCACTTTGCAGAACGGGATATCATAGTTGTGAACCAGGAACGAGCAGACAAGAAGTGGCCATTCGTAGAAAAAGTAGTGCAAGTAAGAGAACCATGATCATACATGGGATCAGCCTGGATCAGGTTGTCAGCAGAAGGGCGGCTTTTGGCGGGAACAGGGGGCTGATGAGAACGAGAGAGGGGTTGAAGTTGACTAAGTACTGAGGCTGCCCGGCAGTTTCAGTCTGAATTTCCAACGTACAGCCCTAAAATAGAAACACTTTTACTGAAGTGAGTACAGTTAATATGCTTTAAATGCAAGATGTCTTAGGCAATAGTGCCTGAGAGGCCTGTAAGACCATGTTCATGAAAGACTTAAATGAGCAAAGCAGGGTGGCTTTAAAACAACTTGTACAACCTTGAAGACAGGGATAGCTAAATTCAAGTTCTCTTAAGTCCCCTGACAGGGTAAAGAATCAGACAGGTCAGAAAGTGATTAAGAAATCAATGTAATGTAACATCAGTAGTGTGAATGAGATGTCTGCAAATGAGTTAATATTTTCCTATTTCATTTTTTTTTCATTATGTTTACAAATATATATATATTTTTTTTTAAATCGAAGAACAGTATTTCAGATGTTGAGGCATGCAGGAATTCACGGTTTTATAAGCATTTTCTACCTAAGCAATTTGAGCAGCTGCTTGTTGCTAGTAAGATAGTTGCAAGGAAGCATCCAATTAACAAATGCAAGGTAGCTATGCAGAAACATTAGTCGGATTATCCCTTTGAAACAATTATCTTACTGCTCTCACGTAAGGAACTGTAGGTACCTGGAAATACTGTTACTGCCTTGTTTGATTGTATCTAGATCTAAAGTAGTGTGTATAGTTTGGCCTTATGAGATTGCAATCGAAACTGTGATGTGAAAGTGTATTTTAGGATCTTTCACTTATATGTGGAAGCAGATTGCTGAAAAATGCATGTAAATGTTGATTCAAAGTTGAAAATGTGCCAAGAGACTGCTAGTAAAATATTTACTGGTAACTTTAAGGTGGAAATATGTCTTCCTTATTGAGCTATAACTTCAGTTTGGAAGATATTTGGAGGAGGAACATATTTATATTAATATATCTATAGACTATGGAGCCACATTTGCTCTTGAGACTATTTTCTTTTAGTAATTTAGTTGATGCCTGCCATAGCTTTTAAAAAAAATGAGAATAAATATGTGTGATTGCTGTGCTATCATCTTCAATTGCACATAGCTTTGAATATTTTGGAGTTGTGTAAAGGTCTTGTGGTATTTCAGGCCACCATGGGAGCAAAATATTTTTTCTTGTTTCTTTGTTTAAGGTAAAACACATTGCAATCTGAAATCTAATAAAGGAAAAAGACACAAATGATAAGCAGTTTTTCATCAGGGGCTGTAAAGACTGAATGTTGGCTGTTATTAAAGTTGGATAATGCTATAAAAGAGATTAAGTTGTAAACAATTGCTTGTGAAAAGTAGTGGGGCTTTTTGTTTGCTTGATTTTTTTTAGCATTTTCTAATCCCATCTTTCTAAAAGGAAAAGAATTCCTGTTCTGCTTGAGTTTTGCTTTAAAGCCTTGGTCTTCCTCTTTAATACTACTACTTCGAGTACAGTTTTTCATTTATATTTATGCAGGTGATTATTCTTCCAAAGTATCAAACTCTCCACCTCTCTGAATTCAAATGATGATTTTTTTCAACTTGTCAAAGTGACGCCCAAGGATAGATGTTTTCTACATAAGTAGAAATGGTCTCAGCACTTAAAATTTTAAATGGGATTTTTTTTTAAATGAGAAATGGAATGAAGGCTAAAAGGCAGTATATGAATTTCAGGTAGAAAACAAGGCAGAGCTGTCCTAACTAACATAGTCCCATTGAATCAGCTCACACAAAAATTGGTGACGTGCAAAGAGCAGGATTTTCTCTCAAAATGGTAAAAATCTTAAAAACAAAATGAGTAAATTTCCATGTCCTGAAGTGAAGAAACCTTCAACAGGCATCTTGGGAATTTATGGAAAATAAGTGGTGGGACATTAGTACCAGGGTGAAGAGTTGAGTAGGGAGTTGCGTGGTAAAATCAGCTGTTACAAGCTGCTTTCTAAATGCCATTGGAAGAGACAATACTTATGTCAAACAGGCTATGGATCATATCGTGGTAATGACGAGGTACTGGAGAGCTAGATATAGGCCTTCGGTCATGCAAGGGCTTTTGAGATGTTTGTGCTCAGAATGGCTGAGTGCACACAGTAAAATCCGGTGATCAAGAAGGTGTTAATGAATAAGCGTCTTGCACCAAAACTGAAACTTTGGAGCAAGGACGTGAAGTCTGGTAGAAGTTTGCATGTTTCAGAATATGGTGGCACCATGATATCTGGAGACATTGTCATATTGAATTGAGTATTTTTTTTAGAACTGTTTGAGTGACTTTGCATTGGAAAAATAATAGATCCGATGCAGCCTTTAGCGAACTCACTACTGAACTCCAAGTAGCAGCACGCTAGTCAGTGCAGCCTTTCATTGACACGCTCAGCCAGTGAAGTGCTGCATGATACAAATGAAAGCTATCATATCAGAGCATGGATTCCTGTTTTAATATTTGCTCTGTTTATGAAAGAAACATATCCTGCCCTTACAGGAGAATGTGGTAGTGATCCAGCAAGGTTTTTTTGTCTCTGGGCAATCTTATGTATCAGTGGTATTATGCCATCATGCATTGACAAAGAATTATCTTTCAGAACACTTGTGAGATCAGCTGAACATTTTTTATGTGGTAATAACTAAGACTTCAGTATAGCCTGTAATTTAAGACTCTGCTTTTTATTCTTGGTAGCGCTCTGAAATATTCTGAAGTATCAGTCTCATTTCTATGATGAGAAAAAGGCATATGTTCATTTTCAAAGTTCATGTCAAAGAATTATGTGCTTTGTCTAGGGAAAATGTTGCTGATTATGAGTAGCCTCTTTAAAAATCATAATCTGGGTTTGGGTGGGGTTAGTTTTGGAGTTTGGGGGCTTTGTGTTGTTTTTTTTTAATTAGTGCCTTTTTAACCATGTGATAGGTAGGTTTTGTGGTCTAAGAGAAAAGAGAGCATTTATTGGAAAAACATTCATTTGATGGGTAGTGAGCTCTCCTTTATTTTCTTCTGGCATTGATTGTTCTGTTGTCAATACACATCTTTGTGGAGATTCCTCATAGAAAGTGACACAAAAAGAACAGCAATATTTGTGTAGTTATGCTGCAGAGGGGGTATTCAGTGCAGCTGAATTGATTTGATCATTTCATATGTTGCAGCACTGAGAATTCCAAGTTCCTCAAGGTGAACCCAGAGGACTTCAGTCACTATATACACTTAATATCAGGTGAACTCATAACTTTAGAGTTCAGAGAGTTGTAGGAAACATATGCAGTTGATAAAGTATTTTTACTGAAAGGCTTCGTTCAAACAGCATTTTAATACGTACTTGGATGTTTTGCTTCATTGAACAGGTTGCCTTTTCATTCAGACTTCCTTGCTGCTGTTGTCCCAGAATAGGTACAGTCACAAATATTTTGGCTGGCTGGCGTTTGTGGCCATTAGTTGAAAAAAACTGACAGTAACAGATTTTGTTCAATGCGAGGATGTGAGAAATAAAATAGCTGTGGGATCTAAATGCCAGATTCCCTTGCTGAGTCCATTGGAGCTTCCAGTGAATACTTAGCTGTGACTTCTGACAGAAACTATGTCATACTCTCACCTTGACAAGATTAAAAATTGATAGTGTTTTCAAAAAGAACTGAGCTTTGTAATGTTCTGATTGCACTTTTGAAAGCTAAGTGAAAAGAAATTGTAAATGACTGACTGAAGGAATGTAAACAGAACAACAGTGTATGTGGCTGTCTGGTACATGAAATCCACGTTCACTCTAGGGATGTCTTGGGTAATCAAACATTCCTGCATTAACAATGCGGAGATGCTGAGGATATGTTATATGGAGGTAGAAAAGGTAGAATAAAAGCGTCTCTTATTTTTTCCTCGAGAGGAAAAAACACTGAATTGCATGGCACAGGAATGTATAGAAAAATGAGTCTTTCAAGGGGAACATCCCTCCTAGGGAATCTGTCTTAAGTGTGAGTTAACTAACTGATTAGTGCTTAGTTTCAGCATCTGATGTTATGGTAATGTTAAATAAATGAATATGGTTGCACAGAGCTCGTAAGACTTTTTTTTTTTAATGTTATTTTAATTCCAAAAAGTGTGTGGACGTGCCTTGCATCTACAGATAGAAGATGCTGACTGGTTTAGCAGCTCAATCCTAGAGGACAAGCTGTGGCCCTCCCAGGACGAGCAGGCCAGCGAGCGCTTTGGATTGAAATTTCAATACTTGGGTTTTGTGCCACAGGTTGTAAGAAGTAGGCAGGAATCAAGATCCGAGCAGGGTCATTTTCTCGTCATACTGTGTTCATATGCAAAGCAGTCCTAAAACTGTATTTCCCTCATCAGTCCACTGAGGAGGACAGGTGTTATAAATGAGGCATCCTGACAGCTTCCCTTTTAAAGGCTTCTAGATCTTGATGTATTCTTTCTCAGCTGCTGAGCTCTGACTTTTCAGGTACTGATGACTGTTTTCTCCTCACCTGTATATTCAAAGGTAAAATATAGGGGCTGTCTATTTTTAGACCTTCCTTACAGAAAGGTCTCCGATCACAAACAGCAACTATTTTTTTTAATTTCCTTACACTGGCACATTAATTTGCTGATGAGGAAGTGTAACTTACTGCACTCATTAGACTATTTTGGTATTTGTTGGAAGCATAATGTATGTAGTAATAGCAAGAATATAATTTTTAAAAATTATTCTATGTTATATGAATTAGCAGAGGGAGATTTATTTATGCATGTTAAGTCAAAAAGATCTTTAGAACTAATTGAAGTGGAAAAGGAAAAGGTAAAAAATACAGTCATCATGAAAACATTTTTCCTGCTTCTCATCAGTGAGAGCATGGACTTGCTGGGATTTTAGCATTAAAAAGTGAAGTGACGTTAAGCTGATATAGGCAGGGTGATCAACCAGAAAAAAAAAAAATTATATTTGCACAGTGATCTCAAGATTTTGAGTCTGCACCTCAGTTCCAAAGCATTCTAATGAAAATCTGTTGCATACATTTCAAATGTATGGAAATGCTTGACATACGTGAGTGCCCTATGGTGAGCCTAATCTATGCAACAGTATTTAAAGATTAATCCAAATTCAAACTTCGCTGTATGCTAAGAGCAATATTTTGAGAGATACTATTCTGTAAGTGATCTCTTAATTAAAATTATGCAGCAAAAAGGTAGGGAAATGTTAGCCACTTAGTAGCTTCAGATGAGTATGCTAACTTTTATGAATCGTTAACTTGGTAACTACAAGGTAACTAGTTATCTACAATGTCTGTACATTATTAATAGCATTCTCTTCTCCCTGTGTAAGGCTCTACGTTTCTGGGAATCACAGGGCTCTTGGAAAACTTAATACAGTATTTACCACTGAAGCTATCCCGGAATGACATTCACTCTGGAAATCAGGAACATGAAAAAGTAATGCAGTCACATTCATTGGCATCTTGCTTTTCAAAGGCGCATTATGTCGTTAGAAATACATTACTTAATTGGTGTCAGTAGTGATAATAGTAACTAACAATGAATAATTAAATTCCCAATTCTTTTGTTGATGGATTTGTATAAGTTGAGGCTATTTAAATGTTTTCTTTTTGATTCAAGAGGGGAAAAATGTAGATGCTACACATTCAAAGTGTAGAAAAAAGGTACTTTTGGCTAAGTAAGCCAGCATTCAGCTAACCGTTATCAGACCAATTCACTTTGTGCTTTTTTTTTTATATACAGTTTCACAAATCATTTAAATGTCTTTAAATGATGAATTGAAAACTCACTTTTAGGAGGTGCCTTAATGTAAGGTACCACAGTGTACCTCAGCTTTACTAGAAAATTGCCTTTAAGCAAAGCAGAATAACATATAGTTGGCAGAATGGGGAGACTCTGGTGCTGCCCTTGTGCAATATCTGTTTTTCAACACTTCTAGCTTTGCCTTACTATTTCAAATAACTGTGGTGTTTGGTTGTTTTTTGGTTGTTTTTTTTTTCCAAAAGACTTAAGGAAGCACTGGAAATAATTGCTAAAGCCTTATTACTTACTGAAGAACTGGTTTAAGTGCCAAATGTACCCAGACCAACTTGTCCTTTAGTTACTTTGAGAAGTGAGCTGGAGATAAAGGTGGACTTTGGCAGTGCTGAAATAACTCCACAAGTAACTGGAGGGGTTGGGGATAGTGCAGTTGCAGGGCACTGCCTGCCCTGGGGGAAAGGGCTGCCTGCTTGCCCTGTTCTGCTGGTAAATAGGAGAGCTCACTGCCTTCTCCTGGCAGCGTATGCAGCCTTGGAAACAAGGGAGGCAGCTAGTGTGTGTTTGCTGCCCCAACACAAGGTAACCCCAGCTTGCCCCTTGGCTCCTTGTTGTGGTGGCTGTGACCTCTTACTACAGTTGCAGGCAGGACTTAGTCTCGGAGTGACAAGCGTGAGGTGCAGTGAGACAGATAGCTTCTGCAGAGCTACCCAGCGCTGCATGTGGCCACAGCGTAGCAAGCGGTGGTCTCAGTGGCACAGCCGTGGCATCTGAAGTGATGAATAATCCTAGTTATTCTGGTTTTCCTTAAATGAAGTGGTATGGGAGTGGTGGTGTAAAGACGGTTTCTGTGGAGCTTTCTAGATATGCATATATATATGCTTCACTCTTCCTAGGTAAAGGAAAACAGAATTTTACAAGACCTGAAAGATAAAATGGTGTCAAAGAACAAATGCCTAGCACTACCTAAATGCCTGGTAAATTAGTTCCCAGCCTTGAATTCAAAAGGATGGTGAAGGTCAAAGTGACTTCAAAGGAATTCAAGCTCCACTCAAGTCTCATAAGTTCCAGGTGTTTGATTATTTTATTTTTTTTTTAAGGCAATAAGTGCAATCTAAATATTACTGTAGTCCTCCTCGACTACCCAGTCTAAATGATCGGTGTGCCCGTTTATATTGGGAAGGATGTAGTCTTGGACACAAACTCGAAGCAAAGCTCTGATTCATGATCTAGAGTCAGAATGAGACAAAATAATTTGTTCTAACACTGCTGTTCAAATTTTATGCACTAGAGTTTCTCTTCACCTAGTCATCCTCTGAATCTCTGTCTGTTAGTTTGTTTTTCTGGGTTTGGGTTGGTTGTTTTTTTTTTCCGGGGGACACACGGGGAGTGGAGAGTGGGGATTGGGATCGCATCAGGAGGAGGCTTGTCTACAGATCCCAACTG